ATTGTACATTGGAATGACACTGTAAAAGTCCCACTATCCTGCATTTAAAGTGCAGATAATTAAGTTATAATAAAGTGCAGCAGTAGTTTACTTAGTAACGAGTGCAACTTTACATTTGTATACCAGTGGCAGTGAGCCTGCAGCCCCACTTCAAGAACACAGAGCACACAGACTGTGTTCTGCCAAGCGCCTACTACACACACACACACACACACACACACACACACACACACACACACCAGTGCACGCACCACCCAAAAACAGGACTCTCACACACAAGTAATGGTTGCTACGTAACACACAATCACAGCGAAGCGATTTGTACATGTCAAAACAAAATTACCCATTTCAGGCTAAATTAGTAAATCGATACAAAGAGGTCAGCACAGCAGCTGTGTTGGCTACAGCGAATAGAATTAAAGTTTGGCAGCTCACATCAAACCATCAGGCCCTCGTGTGTATTCCGACTCCAAAATCAACAGAAGTCGTATTTACAGGCAGACACAAAACAACAGAAACATCACGTGAAAATAAAGTTTAGTTTGCAAGTAACTCAATCACGATTGGGAAACAGCAGTAAAGGTGAGACACATCCAGTAAACGGCCATATAGAAGCATAGGTCATTTATGAAAGAGTTTAGAGAATCAATACAATGAATGTGAATTTTCAAAAGAACATGAACAAAGCTCATAACTGAGACAACTGTATTTCCATTACATGAGAGGAAGTAATTATATTTAATGAGAAGTTATTCATATCTCAGTCCAGGGTTCAGTTCAAATGCTCTGAGCTCCACCACATCTAATGGTCTAATTTGGTCCTGAAAAATAGCATGTTCAATATATATATATTTGACCATGTAGAACAATCACCAGTCTTTATATTTGCCATCGGATCAATACAGATCCACGCTGTTGGCAGTGAATATAGGTTAAAGGTTTCCTTTGTGTGTGTTTCTGGAAGAAGAAACAAAGCTGAATGGCTCATCAGACTGGATTTTTTTTCCATTGCTCAGGTTTGCTCAAGTGGCAAAACTACATTATTTCTTTAAAGCTCGACCCCTTACCCCAGAAGCCCAAAGGGCTCAGGAGGCCTTTAAAAGCTCTCACAATGTAGCAGAGGGGTATCAAGGTGTGTGACAATAAACACTTTGTTTTAAATTTATGATATTTAAACCTTGTGCTCACCATGATATACTAGCAGGTAGCGCTAAAGTTAAAAAAGTCAATTTTTTGGTCATTTGAGTCAACTGTTATCACATAGCAAGATTACTGCCTATTGTTAGGGTTTGGGACTGATCTGACGATCAGAATTTGATGACTGAGTATGAAATGGAGCTATTGTGTCCACTGTGAACACAGTGACACAGAAATTAGAGTTTGATACTGTGTAAGGCCACAGAAAAATATATCATATTTATGATATTATTAAAAAATATTTAGTTTAAATGCTTTGACTGAGCAGTCCTACCTGTGTATGAGATTCTACTGACACACAGTACAGTTGGAAATATTTTGTTGAGCTTAATGACACAGGTGGATATTATCATGCCTTTGGCTATGATTGTGTGTGCACTTTGTTTGCTCTAAAGCTGACACTAGGGATGCACCCAAATGAAAATTCTTGGCTGTAGCCGAAACCGAATATAATGAAAAACGTTCCTGAATACTGAATATTGAGGTTTTTCCCATTTTTTCCCATTTACTTTGACAATATAAACCATTGCATAAATTAAATAGTAAAAATGTGCTTTTTACTCAGTGTTTCCCACAGGATTTGGAGTGACTAGTGGGTGAGTCCGAGGCCCAAGGGGGTCCGGTAAAGTAAATTACATGTGTCCATTTACTTTTAATGTACAACTGTAAATGTTTTACTTTCTGTGAAAATAATCCAATTAATCTTATTTCCATAGTTTATAAACACCTTATTTTGAAAACCGGACGTTGTCACATGTGTATCCTCGCGCTAATTTCATCAAGTCCGACCCAATTTGAAAAATAATGTTGTATGTGGTTCTCATATCGCGTAACGTGAAGACTTCGCAGCCTCTCTTCAGGTAGGACTCTCATACTGCAACACTTGTCTTTGGAAAGAGAGAAACTGACAGGATAAAGTCGCTAACCTGCCTGTCAGCTCGCTCTGGTCTGTTTCAGTGGATCAACGTTACCATAAAGGCTTGAATACGTGTGCCCTCCAAATTTAGGTGCGGCTAGCTTAAGCGACTTCTCAGAAATGATCGTTGCCTTTTCTAAGAAGTCAGCCACAGATGAAGTGGATGTGCTAGGAGACAATTCAGCAGAACAGTGTCTGCAAACGGCAATTTTTGCGTCTTTCTCAGACACTTGAAAATGCTTCCACACTGTATTGTTACATTGTTCGGTAAAATTGATTGGGTCTTTAGATTGAGGCCGAGCACGGAAACTGCTTTTATTGCTATTTTCGGCCGATTAATTTCGGTGGCCGAACATTTGGTGCATCCCTAGACACACATAATGATAATCAGCATTAACGTAATGACTCCTCTCGGTTGTGACCTACTCACTTTTTTTATGCTTTGTTTCTGTCATTTTGTCCAGCAGCTGCAAGGTAATTAAGGAAGGCAGAACAACATGGTACAAAAGATACATTTCAGAGTTTAGTGGAAACCTCCTCATGAAACTTGGTTCCTGCTGGTGTAATAGATACTCGTAATACATCCTTAACAACACACTCTCACCCACCTCTTTTCTCTTCCATCTGAGCCAGGTTCCTATGTAGGCGCTCACCTTAAATAGCTCAAGACAGTTACATCAGATCCTGTGTTAACATTTATCTTTAAAAAATCACTAAAACTATAGCATTTACTGTGTGTATTAAACCACAGGCTGCTGCTAAATGTCTGAAATTATAATCTTGATTACTTCTCCAGATATTGTGAATAAAAAGTGGACCCATGATTGTTTATCTTGATTAAATAACAATGCTTTTTCCAAATAACAAACAGTTCAAAGTCTTCATCTACCAACACACCAGCAAAGGAACATGCTAGTCGTTTTGTAAATTTTTGACCATAACCTACTAATGCTCTATAGTTTACTTAAAGCTGCACCAATCAGTGTTTTCAATTAACAATGGAAAAAAATAATTGTAATGTGAAAATTGTCTCTCAGAGGGATGAACCCACAGAGGATTATCACCTGACACTGCAGTTCCCCTCAGATCTATGGAGCACTGTAGCATCTTTCAGCTCGCTGTTTTGTTTTGTTTTTTGGCTTGCAACTTTAATATTTTAACTCTCACCACTCTCATCAGCATTGTTTCCAGCAGCAACACACAGCTGTTCTGAGCAAAAAAACACACTACCAGCCAAAGTTAGCAATTAGCAGGTGAATATTGAGTAACATGGAGTTGCTGGAGATCTAAAAGGTCTAAAAGGAAAGTGAATATTAGACTTAGATTCATCAGATGGGAAGACACACAACTTCAAATGAATGCTAATGTTGCTCCGTGTCTGTTGTGGCTGTTGTCTATATTGTTTCTTAACATGCCATATCTGTCGCTGTTCTGTTAACAACTTGTTATGCTGCCCGCAAATATATCACAGCCGGTTTAACTCTCCACTAGTAGCTTGTGTTTGTTTATATTGCTTATTTTTATTGCATATTTTATTCTCATTCAACACATTCTGTTCATAGTCTCTTTTAGTTGACTGTTGGGGCCTGCCTGAAGCCAAAAAATTGCCAGTGCAGCAAGGGCTGTTTTAAGGGCTACTTAAATCTTTTTCTGGTATGTGTGTTTATGGACATTTTAGTGAGGCTGACCAGCAGCACTTTAATTTCAACTTTTTTTACACATCTGGTCTGAAAAACTGTCAGGAAGACAAACGTGGGGAGCAGCGTGATAGTGACAATTTGACTTGTATTAAATTGTTGCTGGTTGTGAGTTTTCCACAACACTTTGAATCCACCAATAAGGAAGAGTTTCACCCTAATCATCATTCACAAACAATAGACTGTATGTAAAAGTGGACATCGTAACGTCACCCGTTGGTTTGTGGACTTTGGACGAGGCGGTGGAGCTAACGGCCGTGTGTGGAGCTTGCTAGCTTGCTTAGCTAGGTGCATCTGCACAGGGCTGACAATTTTGTCTAGCGAACATAAGGCTTTCACAACAGGGGAACTTTCACACCTGAAAGTCCGCACCATGGTCCGAACCAAAGTTCATGTTTTGATACATACGGTTTGGTTTGGTTTCACACTGCAATTCTGCGACCGCACTAAAGGACTATACATCATCTATGTGGGCTTCGTCTCCCTATACTTGACATTGATTGGTTTATTAAACAGTTCAGTGGGTGTCTTTGACAAGAATGAATGAATAAAAATTAACATGCATATTTGCCACTATATTATTATTATAGCATTACTACCTGTAGCACCAACTATACTGAAGGCTAGTCGCAATTAAACCTCCTTGTTGTGCGAACATTATAACGTCGCTGACAGGACAGTGAGCTGTCCCGGGAGATTTATAATGTGTCCTCATTTCTCCGTGCATTTGTTTGTTTCCGGTTTATATGGCAAATGCTGAACTTCCTGTAAATGGTCTGAAAGTCCGAACCATCCAAAAAATGCTTTCACACTAAAAACGAACCGAACCATGGTTCAGTTTGATCCGGACCGAAACTACCTCTTTTCGTCAGACCAAATTTTGTCTGTTTGGTGGCCCGTGGGAGGTTTCACAACTGCAATTTTGGTTCAGCTGAGAAGTAGGTTAATTTTACCATTATTTCTAATGGAACCGGACAGCCAGAAGAGTCGCCCCTGCTGGCCGTTCGATAGGATGCAGGTTTAAGGGACTTCCGCGTTTGCATCATTTCCGCTTGCTCACAACTGCGTTACCACATAATTATATAACAATAGGAAGTAACAAATAAGCAATTTAAGTGACAATACTGTGCCTTGGAGAAGAGAGGAAGGGGAGAACATGAACATTAGCGTAGCCATACATACACACTCACCTCTCTGTCTCTCTCTATCTCCAGGCCGGCCTCCAACAAGTTGGCTTCAAATTCCTGTCTGATTAGATGTATCTCATGGTCAGCAGGCTCATTCCCTGCTGGACCTCCAAGCTCCATGAACACCTCACCGACACTCGCAGGCTGCCCTCCCGCTATGCCACTCCTCTTCCTACTGCCGGATCTGTGCCCACTGAAGGAAAGTTGCCATTGGAAACAATGGATAACCTGTCATGTGAAACTGAGGCGCTGGCAAGAGATCGTATGGAGCTGGGCCGTCGTTGATGGAAGACTAAAACATAGTCAACCTTTCGTCGGCCATCAGAGAAGTAAAGGCCTTCTCTGCCGCCCTGAGGGCTTGAAGCTGAACCCACGACCTGTAGGGAGAAATCAAAAGGGAGTGCAAAATACTGTAAGTACTCAACAGTAGCGCTAAACATTGGAACTGCTGTGAGAAAGAGGAAACCAGTCATCTCATATCAAGCTCAATCACAGCAAGGTATCACAAGCAATTTAATAATAAATTGACAAATGCAAAAGACAGCATCCACAAAACCTTTAAGCAGCAGAGTTATGTAATAACTGTTTGAATGAACTTAAACATCTACTGCACTGTCAGCACACACAAGCAGAAGTGGCTTTTGGCAGGTTCTCAAAAACACTGAAGTGAGAACCTCCAGCAGCAGAGTGGGCAGTGAGCTCACCTTTGGCAGTTTTATTCTTTATTTAGACAGTGGGAAGGTAGAGAGGGAGACTAAACATGGAGGGCACGAGAGGGAACACTCTATAGGCTCTGGGCATGATGGGAGATTTTTTTTTATATCTTCCTAGAAGCTGGTTTCTTACTTATCAGCAGGACAGGTTTCTAAAACGTGGTGTTGTGCATCTATTTTCTTCTCTCCTCTATTCCTTTATCACTGTGTGTGTGATATGACTAAATGGAATAAGACCAATAAATCAACTATAAATAACTTTGGCCAAATGTGCGTCTCTTTTTTCTGCAACTATAGCCTAATGAATGTACTCCTGCTCAAAACCAGATGAACAGTGACAGTGAAGACAACACGTCTTCTGGGCTTTTGCATGACAACTAATTATAAGCCAATAAGTCCAAAACCCCATTGACTAATTTGCTAATAATGGGATGACCCTTTTAATGTAGGAAGAACCTATGCAATATAGCTAAGCTAAGCTGTCTTATATTTTTATTTTGTTAAAACTTTAAAAGCTATAGTTTCCCACAGAATAGAAAATAGCATGTACATTTTTTTAAACATATTTTGGTCTGAAATGCTGTTGGTTAGGTCTTGCTAAAACAGAATAAATACTAGTGGAGTTGACTGTATGTATGCTTCAGAATATATTTTTTTTTACACATGTATGAAAAATATCTCCGACATGCTTAAAACCTGCAATAACCGGCCACTTAGGGGCAGCGGGCACAAGTCATGAACATCATTGACATATCATTGCCTTTAATGTCAATAAGGTGAACTTGTTAGCAAACAGTTGCATGTATACGTCCAGTTGTTACAGAGCAACATTAGCGTTTATGTTTCTGGCCAACTGGCAACATTAAGTCAAATATTCAATCTTTTAGCTCTGTTATTGGTCTCTACCAACTCCTTGGGGGAATATTTGGCTCATTAGCTGCTAAATGCCCCACTATGTTCACCAGCAAGACGCCAAATGTGTCTTTCTGCTGTTTAGTGATGAGCAGGTGTACGGTTCATTTTTAGAGCTTTAAACAGCTGCCATGTGTGGCTGAGAACATCCAAACAGTACACTTACGGATCAAGTTTTGCTTGTTTGTCTGACGTCACTCACGTGGCCAGATCACCTATGAAACACAATCCGCATACTATGTACATTTTCAACCCATCTGTCACGGCAACCTGTCAACCCACAACCCGATCCAAGGGGCGTGTGCGCAGCTGCTCTCTAAGCAAGAATACGGGCTTTTGTCAAAATGTCAGGGCATGACGCCGTTCCACCTAATAAATCTAAATACACCTGCAAATTTAAACATAGTTGGAATGACCAGTTCAAGTCCTGTATTTTGAAAGCTAAGGGTGTCACATTGCTTTCACATTGTCATTTGATACATTATTATTGTAAAGATATTGGTTATCGGCTAATGATGTTGGGACAAAATGTTTCTTAGATATGTAATTGACTACGTTTGAAACAGTCACAACTTTAAGTCCAGTTTATGCACATGACACAAAAACATCAATGATCTTTATAGTGTTATAGTTGAAGGATTCTCAAGGCCTTTGTTTTTGCATGTACAATTTTGAAATGCCTCACAATTTCCCACTAGCCAAATAGCTAACAATTGTGGGCAAATGTTCAACTCTGATTTCAGAATGTCAAAAACATCACAAACTGCAGCTTAGGTGACTGCTTACCGTTCCTGACTGTCAATGTAAGTTTGTATCTGGATGACATTGAAATATGGCCACATGCTTTGTTGGCTCCAGTGCCAAATTAGTTAAAATATTTAAAATCCCTTAGGACTAATAGGTCCTCCCACACTGGTGTTTTCATGTATCTAGACTGATTGGACTTCTTGTAATGGCCGTGTGGGTGTGCACAGATTGTGCTCGATTGACATCTTCCTTGCTTCCTTCTTGGGTAGAACAATTACACCTTTCATCATTTAATTTTTTTTTTGCATGCGATGCGTCCATAACCGAGCCATAACTATGTTTATTACTGATATTTAATTTGAATGTCTGAATTCTCAGTGTGGAACTCGTGCCCTATATAGTGCCCTCAAAAATGTCCAGAATGAACAAATAAGTACTACTTAAAGATAGAGAGCAATTTCTATCAGAACTGAATAAATTAGATCACATAAATGTTTTCAGAGGTGTGCATTCTTTACATACACTGTTTCATAAGCAAATTATGTTGAAAACATTCTCAGGTGATGAATATGAGAATTTGTCACTTTTAGTACCTATACTATAATCAATTTAACTCAATTCACTGTAAATTGCATTTGGAAACATAGCAGCAGTCTACTGTAAAGTACTGTCAAGTAAAATAATAATATCCATTGGATGTTTAGTAAATTTTCACCAGCTGAGACTCACAGGACACACAATGGCTTCTACCTTCTCACAGGTGAAACTTTCCCTTAGGGCTTCAATTTGTTGAAACTTTATTTTTTACAGAAAGGAAAGTGTACTGGGAGGAATCCCATTTGGTTTAGCGTAGCTTGTTTCAAGGAGGTTACCAGGTGCTCTGTTCCTGGAGGCTTAACAAAACCTCTGGGGGACATTCCCAGAGGGTCGTAGAAGCCTTGAAAGAACATCCTGTGTTTGCTGATACCATATAAAATGTCAACATGGTAAACAATTTACTTAATAATAATAATAATGATAATAATAATAATAATAATAATAATAATTAAAGTTAATAAGGGTCTTCACGGTATCTTACGTTGTCTTGTCTTCTGTGTACTTTAGCGTGGTATCAAATAGTCTCCTGTGCAAAGGTAGTAGTTACAGACATCACTTCTTGAGCAGCGGTTTCTAGTGAGGTAACTGCAAACAGCCTCGCGGAGTTACAGTGTCGCCAAATGAAGACTGACTATGAAAACTATTACAGTGGGTCGTCAAAAAATATGTCAGCGGAGACTGGTCACAGGTGTAGCGAAATAACCTCAAGGCAAAGACAAGAAAAGCAATAGAGTGGCGGCAGATGGCTGGGGATGTACTTACGGGGATCTTGTCTTCACCCGGGGAGACCTGCATGCTGTTGCGCTTTACAGACCCACAGAGAAGTAGAAGGAGAGAAGGAGTGAAAGTTGGCGGTTTCCGCAGAAAAAAACAGTCGGATTCATCATCACCACCTTCATCCCCATTATCAACAAATGACACCCGAGGTCACTCCAGTTTGTCCACGGCTCATCTGCCCCACATTGTTTTGGTAAAGAAAGCTCTGTCAGATTTAAGATGCTGCGCATGTAGACTCAGCAGCCTGGTCTCATGCTGGTGATACCCATCTACCCAACTGTGGTCTGAAGGCTGCCTGCGCACCGCCGGCGCGCTGAGCGTGCCACACTGTAAAAAATGTCCGTCTTCAATATGTTGTTTAGTCTTGATGGTGAGTCACAAAATGTGTTTCAATTAAAGAAATCACATTTCTGCCAAATTCTTTTTGAGTGGTTTTAACTGATTTTAGAAGTCGTGTCTACTTCTGAAATACACTACGTGTCAAATGTCACCTTCTTTTACAAGTTGATTTGGAATAAATCGTGAAATGATTTACCCCTTCCTGGGAGTTTTTTCATATAGGCCTATAGACTAGAAAATTGTTTTTATTTCGAGAATGACAGGTTTAGATAGATACATTTTGCAGTGTGGAGAAAGGGAGCAGCTCTGGTTGCTTAGACTGCTCACTGATGTAACTTGAAGAGAGACCTGTGTGTTCCCAATAGCCCATAATCACAGTGTGTGTGACACAAAATGTATTGTGAACATGTAAAATGTATTAAAAGCATTGCTTCTGTCCCAGGATAATATTGCTGTCTTCCACACAGTGTGCATTTTAGTAACAAATCATTCAACAGCCTACCCAGTAGACTTCAGACACCTCACTCACTGACACACACACACACACACACACACACACACCTTCTGAGGCACAACTAACCCCAGGCTTTATCATTAAGCTATGTTTAATATCAGTCGGAATCCTCAACTCAAGTCTTTTCCTGAAACTAACATTTATCTTGAACAGCACCTCCAAAGCTCACTAATTAACACCTTATATCTCGATTAACATGTCCTGTTCTCTTATACCCTGTTCTTTTTACTTCTCCTAGTTGTTTCATATCAGTATCACTTAAAAGTCATCCTGTTGATCTTCATGTCCCTTGCCACTTGACTTATGCTTCCCATTCTGTACCTCTCCCACTGCTCTGTCCAAATCCACAATAGGAGTTGAAGCCATTTTACACAACTTTGTGTAAAATGGCTGTTAATCTGTAAATCTCCATTCATCGAAAACTTGATTGGCATGTCTTGTCCTCTTATATCCAGTTATTTTTACTTCTCCTAGTTGTTTTATATCAGTGTATCACTTCAAAGTCATCCTGTCAATCTTCATGTCCTTTGCCACCTGACGTGTGGACTTTCCATTCTGTGCCTCTCCCACTGCTCTGTCCAAATCCACAAGAGGGGCTGTAGCCCTTTATGTCTTCTTTTTATAGAAGAGGGACATGATTGTTTCTGGTCTAAAATTCAAAATGTCACATAATTTCTCTGATAAAAAATAAGAATGCAATGTAGAATTACAGTAAAATCCTACTTTAATAATGATCATAACTGGCCAGGCCTTTTGGCTCAAATTAGCTACCTCACCTCTGCCATTTTAACTAACCTGCATCATCCAGCAGTTTAGAGCTAACGCCATGCTAACAGTGTAGCCTCATATTCTAACCTCCTAAATCACTAATACATGTGAGATTCTTTTCAAACTTGTCTGTAATTGTTCAGACACAAGAATCATGACTCTTTGAACGTAACAACTCACGATAAAAAAACCCGTTTTCTAAACTTTAATATGCTTACCACTCATTCCACAGCCCTCTCTCCATCACAGGGTGGGTAAAATGGACAAAAAGTTTGGTCACATGAGCAATTTTGTCTATGGTTACCTAGAAACAATAAGGGGTGACTCACCGGCTCAAATCATCCTGCTCTCCCCTACATCTCAAATTTCAACCTTCTGTCACAAGTTGGTTTGCGATCATGTGTACTTCCCCCCTTCCCTGGAGTGTTTTCGATATTTTTGAATAAAAAATATGTCTCTTCTTAAAATGTATTACTCATATTTCAAAATTGAGAGCTAAGCGCTACACCATAATCACAGCAGCAACTATATATAAA